AGATAGATAGATACATAGATAGGTAGGTAGGTAGGTAGGTAGGTAGGTAGGTAGGTAGGTAGGTAGGTAGGTAGGTCGGTCGGTAGGTAGGTAGGTAGGTAGGTAGGTAGGTAGGTAGGTAGATCGATGGATGGATAGATAGATAGATGGCTGGATGGATAGAAAGACCGATAGATAGTTAGATAGTCAGATAGATAGGTAGGTAGGTAGATAGATAGATAGATAGTAGATAAATTACCTGCCTACCTACCTACCCACCTACCTACCTGCATGCATACATAATATATATATATATATATGTATGTATGACTTCTTATTCACTGATATTTGTGTTTCTGTTGTATATATGTTGGTATTTACGAGGGCATGTATATACTTATATTTGTATTTATATATACAAGTATATATGTATATATATATATAAGTACAAACATACATACATACATACATACATACATACATACATACATGTTGCCTGCATCTTGAGAAAACATCACCGGCCATGGCTGCAGCTGCAGCGGCGGAGATCTGTCCACAGCCTGGCTGCAGGCGAACTTATACGTGTGGCCAACATCTGACCGTACGTTTCAACTGGTCAGAAGCCGAAGATGGCTGTTGGTTCTTGAACTAGATCTCTCATGGTGGAACTCAACTCAAAGTTAGGATTGTCGATTATACGATTACCTCTCCGGCCAGCACCGCTGCTGCTGCTGCTACAGCTGCTCCGGGTGCTACGGATGCCAAACAAACGACCACTAGTGACTAGTGCTACCACAACTGCCGCTGCTTCTTTCCCTACCTCCTCGTCCGCCTCCTGTTCCTACTCGTCCACTTCTTCCAACTGCTGCGTCCTGCATGATCCTAGCTTTGCGAACCCGCCCGGCCTGCTCAACTTGCACGGCTTTCGCGCGGACACCGCCGCCACTGGCAGAGGCCTGGAGATGATAAGGGACCTAAGAATTAGGGTTTAGGGTTTTTGGGGTTCAGGGTTTCGGGTTTTGGGTTCGGGGTTTCGGGTTTAGAGTTTCGGGTTCAGCGTTTTATTTTTTTGAGGGCCTTTCTCCCACAGTAACGTGTCCGCAGGGGAGCCCACTTGGGCAGGTTCAGGGTTGAGGGTTTTGGGCTTAAGCGCGAGGTTGGTCTCTCCTCATTGCGATGATGTCCCATGGCTCCTGCGATCTGTGACGAGACTCAGAACATTGCTGGTGTTTCAGCTTGCACGTAGAGCGCACATTCACAGTCATTGCAAAAGAATATGTACAGAAATACATCTATATATATATATACATATATATTATATACTCTATATATATATAGATATATATATATACATATATGATATATAGGTTAGATATATACTATATACTTCTATATATATGCACAAACACGCAAAAACACCAGAGACACACTGACGAGCTCTATGGATTTACAGCGGCGTCGATGATAGCAACCGACAACCTTCGTGCTAGACCGAATACTGAAGTGCGCTGTTCGGGTTGATCATTTCTAGTATCATTTCTATTGATGCTGTTCTCACGAGAAAGGCCCACTTGCTGCTTGCGACACGAGTCTGGTTACCCTGACCATACCCTCAACCTCAAGACCTGTAGAAAATTCACCCTTCCCCATGAAACTTCAAGAACTACTGGACAAAAATGTCAGGAAAAAAACATCGTGCCAAATATGCGCTAACGAGTTTCTTTCAAAAATATACTCCAAAATTCGCAACAAAGCCAATAAAATATAAGAAGCAGCCTGCCTCAAGAAGAGAGGAGCCACTCTGCTCCAGTAGCGAGGCCTGGGACTTGGCCGGGGGTCTGCTAAGCCTTTTTGGGCTTTCAGGGTTTAGGGTTTAGGGTTTAGGGTTTAGAGGGCTCAGAGTCTTGGATGATCTTACGGGGTGTTGTGGAGGTTTTGCAGGGATTCGAGGCGTTTCCATCAGGGTTATATAGGGGCGCTGTTTGTATGTTTCTTAACAGAACGGACGTCCGAAATCTCGTTTTCCCATGGGTTCTATGTGAGGATTTTGGAGGCTTAGATTGCGGTATTCCCGGTGTTGGGACTGGGCCAACGACAAGTTAAAGTGTCACACCAAGCTTTGCGGTCATCCATGTTTACGACAACCAAAACAGAACCCCTGACCCCATGAAATATGAACCCTCTGGCCTGGATCCGCAAATCCCGAAACCAAAAACCCTCATGACGCCCTACAATTTACCCCTCCATTCCTTTGCGGCCAAAGGGCGGGCGCCGGCTTCTTCGTGGTCGTGGTCGTTGCCTCCTGCTCGGGCACGAAAGCACCCGAGGCATAGTCACCCTTGGCCTCGGTCTCCGAACTGAGCCCAGCCGAAGAGAACATAGGGTTCAGGGTTAGGGGATGTAGA